AAAATTTTGAGAGCTAATTTTTTAAAAACTACTCGTGCGATTTTGACAAAACTTAATAGTTTGGCATAGTTTGAGTCGTAGAATCGAAATATGGAAAAACTTTGGCATGTCATTTCAGAAAAAGTCCAGTTTTATGTTAAAATACCTGCATTAGAAGAAGGCTATGTATAAACCTAATACATATTCTTTGGATATATAAATCTAATACATATCCTTTGGAGACATGAAAACGCAAATTGAATTTCGTCAATCAGCCCAGTAGAACGGGAGATATATATAAATGTCTTTTTTTTTTTTTTTTTTTTTTTTCGATTTCGCGTTGAATCACTATAAACGGCGAATCACTTTTCAAACTGTTGCCACCCAATGTTAGAGTCCTGCATTATAGTTGAAGAAATTAAAATAATAAAAATCTGCATAAATGTATGTATATTTCTCGCATTGTGATAAAACAACGGTACGTAGAGCCATCGAATTTTATATGACGTAATCCTCCTGCGATTGTGGGAATCTGGAAGCCCAAATTTATGAATTCGGAATTTATTTTATGATCGATTTCATATTTTGTAAAACTTTGACGAATTTTTGATCAACAAACTCAAGGATTTCAAAGTGAGCCATGGCAACGTAGTACAGAAAAAAAACATCTTTATCTCCAGCGCGCAAGACTCTGTATCGGAAATTCTAAAGATAGGCTCATTTAAAAATTATTTTGCGATATTACTATTGAACTGAATTTTATGGTTTAAGGGCAAAGAACATGATATTTAATAACTAAAGGTTGACTGGAAGCTGACCTGTCTCAGACAGCAAAAGACTCGAAAGGAACATCTTGACGTCATTTGGTTTTAAATAGATGCCAATCCAAATTTCTACAAGTGTCGGATTGAAAATAAACATCCTCAGAAGAATGACATTCAAAGAATGAATGACCTTTCTCGAGTTAAGCATAGTACACGTGTTTGTAACTTCTGTTAAGGTGGGTTGTAATTCAATAGCATTCTCCTAGATCAGTTCACGGATTAGGAACTGTCCTTAACCAAAATGTCGTTAAAGCCTTATGAATAAGTGTGTTTATGAGTTAATTGCATTCTAAAATGGATCTGGAAAACGTCAATCTGTCTTCCTCGAAACATTTTTCCTCGAAATCAAAACAAATATCGATCTAATGTTAAATTCTCTCTAAATTTCAAATTGGTAAAGATTTGATTTAATAAATTCAAAAGTTGCAAAAATGGAAAACAAATACCGATTGCACCGATTGCCTTCAATATAGAAGCACAATATGGCTTTTTTTTATTTTGTGAAAGTTATTTTAGCTTTCAGGGAACATGAAACATTAATTTTCATTTTGTACTTTTTATTTACACCAAATGTACTTGTGTTAAGAAGAAGGTTACTTGGAGGAAGTAAAAAAAAATGTAGAGAAAAACAAACACAAACTAAACATCCCATCTACACCACTCTGAAATGAATTAAGAGCTAATAACTTTTATGGAAAAGATTTTCACTGAATACCGGCATTTAAGTTGGATCAAAAAGAAAACGCAGCTTTAGAAAAATATTTTTATCATTGATATAATTTTGGGGTTTATGAAATTTGTTATCTAACTGGGGATGCAACATCGTAAATTAGGCATAATAATTTTCGTGTAAATGTTTTTTAAGAACTGAAAATTATTTAAACGTAATTTAAAAATAAATAGAAAATGAATTCAAAATTCAAGATTCGGTAATTTAAGTGTGCACGTTCGGGTGGAGGACTTTGTGTGTTCAAAATTAGGTGGCTGTAGGTTTCGCAGGGCGAAGAATAAATATTTTAATTATTTACTAATAAAGAAATTAAATAGTTAAAAAAATCTGAAAACTTTCAGATTTTACATTGCGGCCAAAGGGGCGTTTATTTAACATTTTGTGCGTTACCCTTTATTTATTAAATATCATGTTCTTCGCACTTAAACCATAAAATTCACTTCAATAGCAATAGCGCAAAATAATTTTAAAATGAGCTTATCTTTAGAATTTCCGATAAACAGTCTCGCGCTGGAGATAAAAAGGTTTTTATTTTTCCGTACGGTGTTGCCATTCTTCGCTTTGAAATCTTTGAGTTTCTTAACCAAAAATACTTTAATGTCTAACCAAATATAAAGTAGATAATAAAACAAATTCCAAATTAGGTTTTCCAGATGCTCAATATTAGCTAGAGATTTACGTTATTCAAAATTGGATGGTTCTAAGTACCGTTATTTTATTTCTTTAAATAATTTTCTGGAAAGCTTTTATCAAAAGCCTTGCTTTATATAGCTGGCTGTATTTGAGGACTATATTTTGGGGAACTTGCGACTGAAAGTTTACGAGAAAAGTAAATTTCTACTCATTAATATTTCCCATTCCCAGCTTTATTGTCATCACATTTTTCTCACTGGTTTAGTTAAATTATCTATTATTTGGTAATAAAATTCGTATTTTGCATATTTGCTTATTTTCTCACTGCTTAGATAACTCACTTCCTTTAATGGTTAATTTAGCTTTACGATCAATATATATTAGTAGTTAACGTTCGCTATTAGCAAACGAAAACTATTGATAAGAGTAGTCGACAAAAACAAAACGGTTATCTGTTAAAGCTTTTCTCTGAAGAACATTCCTGTTAAAGGAAGAAAAACGCGATAAACACCATTTTCGAATTCTTTGTATGCAAAATAATTACGAATGTGTATTATCGATGTTCAATATCTCTAGAAATGATTTTCTTATCGATTGCAGCGCCATGGTTCAAAGTAATAAAAATCCAGTAAAGGATAAACAAAAACTCATCGATTGAATGTATGAGATTAAACACTTATTGCAAAAAGAAAATTTTTTTTTGCGAATCAGTAGTTAAATAAATGAGACTTCAATTAAATTATTCCATGTCTTGAGACTTTCAAAGAAGGTGATTACGATTTCATCATTTATTTTTTATTATTCGTATGTAGAATAATTGGGATTTTTAAAGGAGGAAACACGAAAAATTAGCAATTATGCCCTCGACAGGATATGAACCTTCACCTCTCGATACGCGCTGAGCTACCGTTACACCACGAAAGCGTGCAGAAAGAATGGAGAAAATACCTTTACGTTAATAGGTGAGTAGGGTGTTAAACTAGCTGAATCGAGTATAGAATTTAACAGTCTTTGATGCCTGATTGCTCATTCACTGGCACCTCACATGGTGAAAATTTTGTAATATTGTTGCTTGCGTAAGGTTCGTAATAATTTGAATGCCTGCAGTTCCGATAGTAAGTTAATAAAATTTATGTTATCGACAGAAACACTACAAAGTTCTGAAATTTTCCATAGAAATACTCCTACAGGTGACAATCGTATCACAAAGTACAATCAGTAGGTGCGCTTTAGACTTCTGAAAACGTTAAACACAACGCAAAGCAAAGCGCATTTAAAGAGAAAGATAACACGGAAATATCTCTGATCTCACGCTGATCTATTACTTCGCCCTAATATAGTTTTCACCAGGCCCCTGAGATATTTCTAGTACTTTTTGCTTCTCGAAATTATTGGAAAGCAATAATAGAATCGAATTAATGTTACAGCTAATATAGTGACATTTATTCAATTACAATACCTATTACGCTAATACAGGGATCGTAACAAAATGTCGCCAAATGGTCGCCAAGTTTGGTCACATTTGAAATTTATCGCCAAATTTCGCGGCAAAATAAGTTTCCGAAACCGTTGTCGCCAAATTACCTAGATACCGATTTACTCAATGGTGTCCGCCGATAACATCGCGGCAAAAACATCGCGGACGAAAACGTCGTGGAGAAAACAACCCAAGGCGAAAACATCCTGCTACAAAACATCGTGGGAGAAATCATCGCAAAGAGAAAACATCGCAGTCCTAAAACATCGTGGTACAAAACATTGTCGTCGAAAATAAAGCGGTTCAAAAACTTCGCAGTTTCAAAACATCGTCGTCGAAAATATCGTGGTAAAAAATAAAGTATCTACAAATCATCGCGTGACGATAACATCGCAGACATGCTTTTTCCGTAGATGCTTTAATAACTGTAAATGAATATTCCCATAAAGATTTGTGAGCGCAAAATGTAAAGAAGGATAATTTTTACTTTCACATTTTTTATTAACTAATAAATTTTTTCTGAAAAAGTAAGAAGGAAACTTAAGCATAGAAAATTAAATGCAACTTATAGATTATACTTTTCACGAAAAATTACCAGTAAAAACTTTATAAAAAATTATTTATTAATGGCCTTTGTTAGTTAACTATGTCGGTTTAAAATTCTATTAATTGCTATAAGTTGCATTAATTTACTATGCTTAAGTTTCCTTCTTACTTTTTCAGAAAAAATTTATTAGTTAATAAAAAAATGTGAAAGTAAAAATTATCCTTTTTTCCATTTTGCGCTCCATTTTGCGAAAAGCATGTATGAAAAAAAGCATGTCTGCGATGTTATCGTCAAGCGATGATTTGTAGATACTTTATTTTTTACCACGATATTTTCGACGACGATGTTTTTAAATTGCGAAGTTTTTGAACCGCTTTATTTTCGACGACGATGTTTTGTACCACGATGTTTTAGAACTGCGATGTTTTCTCTTTGCGATGTTTTCTTCCACGATGTTTTGTAGCACGACGTTTTCGCCTTGCGTTGTTTTCTCCGCGACGTTTTCGTCCGCGATGTTTTGCCGCGATGTTTTCGGCTGTAACCTTACTCAATACCCTGTATTCTTACTTTTCCGGCCTAGCTTCTCTATATTTTTCGCGACACATTACACAGAAAAATACAACAATTTCACTAAAATAATCTATCTATGTACAAACTTCATAATAATAGCTATGTAAAATAAAAGTTTTTTTTAAAATGTGAGTAGTGAATACTGTGAGTTTTCTTTCATTAACGAAAAAAACGCTTTTGGGAAGAACAAGATAACGAGCCAATTTTTACACGCAACTAATTAAATTCTGTCTTTTTCAGAATCTTATTGTTAATGAAGATGATATTCCTTAAACTGGGATGATGCTCAAGCTAAGATTAAGACTGAGATCTCCGAAGCCGTTAGAGTAAAGGTAAAAACAGAATGTATTTCAACAACTCATAAATTCAGAAAAGAGAATATAAATTGTATTTATTTTATACATTATGGAAATAAATTTCTTGATATTTTTATGGAATAAATGATTTATTTTATTTGAACTGCTTGATTAATTCACATACGATATATGAAGATGGTATACTTGAAACCAGCAGCAACTGGGCGTCACTGATTCAACATAAGATTTTCTTTAAAAAAATACATAAATACATAAACTCATAAAAGCAAATATTTAATAATCATTCAAATTTATCACAGGTAGCCTTTTTTACAAAATTATATATTCTTTGTTGCTGCATATACTTTGAAATGGATGAAACACAATGAAAACTATCTGCGGATATATTCTGTACAAGTGTACTAATGCTTCTACACTGCTTAGTTCAATGTTATCAGATCTAGATTTTAAATAAATGTGGAATTTAAACAGAATAACGTGTAACAATTTCGCAATGAAAACTATTTGTGGATATATTCTGCACAAGAGTACTAATACTTCTACACTGTTTCGTTCAACGTTAGTAGATCTAGGTTTTAAATAAATCTGGAATTTAAATAGAATAACGTGTAACAATTTTAGCAGACTAAGTAAGGTAAAGATAATTCAAAGATTTTAGAAGTATTTGCAAAAGTTCTCTTAAATATTAAGAAACATGCTAGGAATCTGAACAAAAAAAAATCTATTCGAAAAAAAAACTGCGATGAATCAAGTATAATTTAATTTATTATCGGATTTAAGGAAAGTTCCTGCCACCGCAAATATCGTCTGCGCAAACAGTTCACGTTGGCATGTTTAATTATATTTTGTCAAACGATTGTTGGCATTTGAAAGAAATAGACTTGCTTTAGAACAAACACTGTGCTGTAAAATTTGTAAAAATCGGTATCATTAAGTACATGGTGTCTGTTACTATCACGCCACCAGATTAGAACCATCATTTACTTTCAATTCCGCTGCAAAAAGTCAACTACAGAATGTTACCAAATCATGTGTACAGTTTTAGGTACTAATGTTGCATGATGGGGGAGTTCTATATCTCCCATTCTACTGGGCCGATTGACAAAATTCAAATTGCGTTTTTCATGTCTCGAAAGCGCGACTTGGGATATATATTAGATTTATATATAGCTCGTATTTTGACACAGAATCGGACTTTTTCTGAAATAACATACCCATTGTTTTTTCAATATTTCGATTCTACGACTCAAATTATGCCTAGATATTAAATTTTGTAAAATTTGGTACAAAACTTACAGAGAAATTCAAAAATTTATCTTGGCCCAATTTTTTTAGTTTCTGCCAAGAATAAATTTCTTAATAATATGTGGCAACCAAATTTTCTTTCCCTTCCATTAACGCCGGAGCGGAAAAAAAGGCACCTCGTTCTTACCTTTTTACATTGTGCATGAGCGGAAAACTATTCACTACGTTTCTACTTCCAAATAACTTTAGCAAAGTGTCTAAACGACATTTGATGTTTTATCGCTGTCAGCAAATATGCCGAATTTCAAAATGCGCCTATATATAAAATCACGTATATCTTCAGAAATTTTGAATACAAAACTGTACTTTGCAGGTATGCTTAGAAACACGTCTACATTAAGATAATGGTAAAAATTTTATAGATTATAATTCAAAAATGTTTTTAAAAAATTAGAAAAAATTATTTAAAAATGAAAATTTAAAGAAAAAGTCATAAAAAATGGGCGAATTTTATATGGAATGAACCTGAATTTCGAAATGTGAAAGGAAGAATCAAATAAGTTTAATAAAAAAAAAAAAGAGAGATTGATAAATATATACCAAACTCAATTAACATTCAGGAGCTAAAACTTTGCGAGCTGATTTTTTAAAAACGACTCGTGCGATTTTTACAAAACTTGGTAATTGAGTAATTTGTGTCGTAGAATTGAAATATGGAAAAAAAATGGGTATGTTATTTCAGAAAAAGTCCAATTTTGTGTCAAAATACCTATATTAGAACAATATATTAGAACAATGCTATATTTAAGTCTAATACATATCCTAAGTCGCGCTTTCGAGACATGAAAAAAGTAAGTTGAATTTCGCCAATCGGCCCAGTAGAACAGGAAATATAGAACTGTGTTTTTGTTGTTGTTGTTGTTGAACAAGTTCAATCGTGCACAAGTTCAATCGAGTTCAGTGTATAAGCTCAATCGTACAAGTTCAGTGACAAGTTCAATCGAGGGGTGTAGCATGGGCTGACTCAAGCAAGGGATTGCCGTGGTATCATCCACAAAGAGTACCTGGCAAAAGGTAAAACTCTCGACACTAAGGTATGCAGCGAGGTGCTAGTCCGTGTTGACGATACTATCAAGGAAAAACATCGAACTGATTTCTTACGCAAACAGGTAATATTCCATTAAGGTAATACAAGACCACGCGTGTCTGCATTCACAGGCTGGACTCTGTACGGACCCGAATGGGATCTTTTGCCACGTCATCATATAGCCCCGACATCGCTCCTTCGGAGTTCTCCTTTTTTCATACCTGCAGCTGCATCTTGTTGGTGCTATCTTCCATCCTGCACAGGACGTCCGAAATGAAGTTGATCAGTTTTTTTTTACTCGCGGCTTCTAAGTTTCTGGGCCGAAGGCTTTGAAAAGCTACCAAAACATTGGCAGAAAATCATAGATTTGGGTGGTGATTACTACGAGCACCAAAAGTACTGCTTTCATGTTTTTTTTTAACCTTATTAAGAACGTTTTTTGGCGGAAAACTTTCATTACTACCTGATGTTTTACATATTTGCCACACTGTACACAATATTCAAATCTATAAGAATATATAGATCACCAATATTTCAATTTCATTCCTCGTATATTTTAAATAGATCTGGAATTTAAATAAAACAATGTGTAACAATTTCAACATGACAAAATAAAGTAAAGACTAAGCAATGCTTTTAGCAGTATTTTAATGTTCTGTTAAATAAAAATTCATATTTTGTTAGATCTGGAAAAAAAAATGTTTAGGGAAAATTTGCTACGAAAAAAAGCTATTGAAAAGAAGAAAAAAATAGTTGGGATCAAACATAAATTAAATTGTTATTTTATAGACGTGTCACGCTGTTCACAATATTCAAATTTATAGGAAAATAGATCACCAATATTTAAGTTTCATTCCTCCTTTTGGCTTTATCCATGCTTAGGTATCTTTCCATTTGCGAGACAAATCCTACATGTTTATTTAATTCTTTGAAGCGATAAGCTTCAGCAAAAATGCATTTTATCAATCGAAGATGAAAAGTAAAAGTTATCTCCCTTGTAATAAACAGTCCTCTTAGGGATATGATAGCGATGATGAGCGATAAAATCCACTATGAAAAGGTGGTAAGTGGAGAAGAATGGCTGATAAGTGAGGTTAGAGATAGAGATACCATTGAATGGAAAGCTGCAACACAATAAAAATGGTGGCCCTGTATGCATTCGAAAAGATAATCTGTAATCTAGTAGACCAGAACAAAAGTTCAGGTCAATCCTTTGTGAATTCGTTTCTCAGCGGAAAGTACGAAGAAGAAGAAACTTTACAAGAACATAAACGAAGGCAGAAAAATAGGAACAGCAAACTTAGAAGAAAATATGTGATGTGGATACCACATGACCTCTTTGTACTGCCTTTTAAATTATTCACATTTTTTGCTGCCCTTTATTTAAACTTATTTCCTCGAATTTCATTAGAGATAGGTTTCACATTCAATCAATTCAGTTCTCACTTCGAGCAAGGCAAAGATACATAAAAAACAATACGAAATAAATTAAGAAAAACTTAAAACACCAAATATGGTTAAAAACAGCTAAAAAAACAATTTTTACAGTTAAAATTAGAGTTTGCACATTAAAACAAGCAATTCGGACAACGGACAGGAAAACAAAATTTTAATTCAAATTAAAACTGAAAAGTTGAAATTGAAAGTTAACTTTTGGTTCCAACTCGAAACAAATGGTAGCCTAGTTAGGCGTAGCGACACTTTTAAATTGCTGATAATTCTATAACTATTGCATGCAGATTAACTAAAGGCATAAAAACCTTAACCGGAACATAAGAACAATACATGGAAAATGAAATTTGAATTTCGTCAGTCGACCTAGTAGAACGGGAGTATGGAGCTGTATCCCCCCCCGTTTTTAGTCCAAAGTGCTTTGCCCCTGAAAGATTATTGTTTCCGTTTTGCGATTTTGCTTTGAATCACTATAAATGTCCGTTTCACTTTTCAAACGGTTGCCACCAAATGTCTAGAATCCGGCATTATATTTCAAGAAATTAAATAATGAAAAATCTGCATAAATGTATGTCTGTTTCTCGCATTGTGATAAAACAACGGTACCTAGAGCCACCCAATTTTGAATGACGTCATTCTCCTACGAATTATGGGCATGTGGAAGACCAAATTTGGAATTTGTTTTATGATCGATTTCATATTTTGTGAAACTTTAACGGATTTTTGATTAACAAACTCAAGGATATTAAAGCGAGCCATGGCAACATTCTACGGGGAAAAAGAAACATTTTTTATTTCCAGCGCGCGGAACTGTGTATCGGAAATTCTAAAGATAGGCTCATTTTAAAATTATTTCGCGACATTGCTTTGCACTGAATTTTATGGTTCAAGTTCAAAAAACATGATATTTAATAAATAAAGGTAACACACAAAACGTTAAAAAAAAGCCTCTTTGGTCGTAATTTAAAATCTGAAAACTTACAGATTCCTCCCCCCCCACACACAATCTGAAAACTTACAGATTCCTCCCCCTCCCACAATGTACATACAAGGGCCACATGCAGTTATTGTTACACATACGAATTTATTATAGTTATTGAATTACAGTACTGATTATAGGTATAAAAAGGACTGGATCCAAATGTCCCCAGCTTTGGCGTTGGCAATTTCTCGCCAAATATAGCGATAAAAATTAGTCGCCAATTTAGCGAGGTAGCCATTTACCTCAATGTTTAAGCTTGCCGCTGTAATCTAAGTTCTCCAACACAGCGTCGTCTCTTCAGACTTTTCATGTATTGCACAAAAGATATTACAATTTCACTTATAATTTCACTCA